ACCAAACCTTTTATTATGTATACTTCATTCAATAAATCATTGAAATGGTTCTTTTGACAAGAGAGGTTGCTAGGTACGGAAATCATTTTAACCTGGAACCATAGTTTTACCCATCCAATGTGTTTAAATACAACATTATTAATCACACCGGATTAAAATTACTTTTCACCACGAAAGTTGATAAAGGTGCGAAACACTCAACACGAGACACTCCTGTAAAATTAAATAGAGTAATATATTTAAAGAGAACTCTGATGTTCATTGTATAATGTTCTTTATTATCAAAAGAACAACATCAGAATTAGAAGTTGCATCAGTATAGAAGTATTATAAAGGATTTTTAATATAGTATCAAAATAATGCTTTTCACATGTGTGAACTGTTTTAAGGAATATGAAAATAACTGTGTTATTTTGTGCACTCTGTGTTATTAGGTGCTTGATGCTGTTTAAGCACGTGTTTAGAAGTTCAAATTCTACTTCAGTACGCTTTGCAAGAAGGTTGATAGCTACCATCTTTCATTGGTAGTTCAGGTGGTATCTCAAGGCTACAACCTCCTATAATCACGAATGAGAATGACCAGTCACGTTATTATCGCTAGTCGCTCTTGTTAAATTCTGTTTCACTCAGACAGTATATATCACCGTAGGTCGCACATGCTGTTGAATCTTTAAATAATGAAATCATAATTCGTTTCAAGAAGAAATGGATTTTACAGTATTTGTTATCATGTTATGTCACCCGAAAAAGATTTTCTCTTTACCACCTTTGTTATTCTACATTGTTATATTTTGCTAACACTTTTTCTTTCATATAGAGCGTATGTTCTTCGGATACTTTTGCTTTGACTGCTCCAAACAGACAGGTGTACATCAGGACGGGGTATTATAAGGTAAATTTTTATTCCTTCATGAAATTACAAATGACAGTTATTATTTCACAGCACATGCATAGTCACATATACCACATAAAAATAATTATCTAATTTTTAATTTTAAACACTGAAGTTATTGTAGCGCGTATTTCAAGTCCTAGAATCAATCTGAGGAACAGAAAAAGTAACGGTTTTTACGTATTACAATTTCGAATGGTCTGAAACCGAGCTGAATAATAATTTAAATTTAGTAGTTAAATAAATGCCATTATATATCCAATTTATGATATTTGCCAACAAGACTGATACACACATTCTTTTTTTAATACAAATATGTTTTAATATATAAACAACAATACAATTTACAATAACGGTTATAACAAATAGTTATTACAAACAATAATTTATATATAAAAGCTTTACAAACTTACAAGCAATATAAAGTCTTCTTTGTAGTCTGGAGCTTCCTTGATGTCTTATCGAGAGTTCACGATGAGCGAGTTAATGTCGAGTTGATGTAGGTATAATACACTTAATAGGGAGCTAGCTCTGTGGTTCTCATTGATCACATGCCGATTACAGGTCGAGTTTCTTTTACCGCTGAAGTTATATAATATCTTCATAAAAGTACTAATGTCCGCTATGAATCCACTGAAGCTGAATGATTTGAATGTTCGAAATTTATAAATGTTCCTGGTCAAATATATCTGAAGTTCCCGATTAATAAGCGTTAATCACAGTTATAGCTACCGAAGTTTATAGCACACCAATTATAGCAAACCAATAATAGATACTGTTTTTGTTGGTTATATTTGTAGGCGTGTGGAGAGTTTCTCGAAAATTCAGATTACATAACAATACAAAGCTGCACTGGCGTTTACGTACATACATATGTTGTTGATTCTTACAGCAGAGAATCTTCTACAACTTTAGAGAATAGGCGGGAGTTTCGCAATACATACTTATCAGTATACATTATGTACATTTCTAAATATAAATTTCATTTAAAGAAACATCGATATAAAATTAAATATAGAATAATAAATCCGTCACACGGCTGACAGAGAGATCATCCAACTTTGAATAAACACAAAAACAAAAAGCTAAAGTATTTGTATTCGTATTGTTTTTATTTCCAGAAAATGCAAAACTACAAAAAATGCCCCCCAGTGGCACAGCGGTACGTCTGCGGACTTACAACGCTAAAATCTTGGTTTCGATACCCGTGGTGGACAGAACACACATAGCCCGTTGCGTAGCTTTGTGCTTAATTACAAACAAACAAAAAAGATACCTGGAGATGAAAGTTAAAATATTATATTTCTCTTAGAGAAAGTTTGCTTTTGTTGAAGGATTTAATCAAAGATGAATGAACAACTTAACTATTTTGATCAGTAAATGGGTGAAAAGTCTGTCTACAAACTCTGAGAAACGTTTTCTTTTAAATATATTAAGATTTTTAAATTCAACAATTAAAAGGTAAATAAATACAACCATTTACTCTTAGAATGTTCATATATCATACATTACGCTTTATATAAAGTATTCTAAGATGACAGAATATTTTAATAATACACGAAAAACATAGGTTAAAACTTATAATACCATATAGCAAAGTACATTAATTTTATTATTGCATACTAAATATTATATGAACGTTGTTTTTCATTTGTTTCAGGGTACAGTAGTAGCCATTAAGCCTATCAACAAATCTCGCATTGATATTACCCGCACCTTACTATTGGAACTGAAAAGGGTGAGTTTCACTTGATTCATTCATTATTATTAGTTTTCGAATCTCTACGTGTTTGTGTAGCCCTGACGTTACCGAAATTACGGTGACTAGCATAAAAATACTCGCGCTTTCCGCTTCGGGATTCAAAGGGGCTCGAATATGCGATCAAACTCCTCCATTATCCCCCAATTACTTTTATACCTATTCCAATTAGGATTGGTACCAGAAACAAATGACCATAAAGACGCCTGCTCGTGGTTCCCAGGCATGTGTGTCATGTTTGGTCCCGCTATCTTGTGGGTGGGGTACGAAGTTTTAAACATGACAGGAACTTCTGAAATCCCGAGGAGGACCAGGAATACAAAATTCGATACCAGCTTTGAGGTCAGCGGCAATGAAAACCTACTATTATATACCCGTCATGGCTGGGTGACCTTGTTACCCCCTTGGATAGGGAGCAATGCCATATAAATATAATCATCTCCGGAGTCATCCGATTACGCCTGCAAAGTTTGGTCATGCTAGTTCCAAAACTGTGAAGGAATTAGATAGGGTACACAAACATACGTACAAACTACAAACTGCATGACTAGAATATTTACACATTTGCAGTCATAAGATATTAATATATAGTTCACAGAATTGATAATGTGAAACAAAACGTAACCGACCACAAATATGTGTTTATATTGTCAAATTAAAATCATTTCACATCTTTCTCTCTCGGGTGCTCAATGGTTCACAACAGTCTTATTCTTGATATTTTTTCCCGTGTCTTGTTGACAAATAGTAAGAAAAACGACCAGGTAACATAACTGAGTTATTTATCGATCCTAATTATTAATTGGAAAAAGACCAATGATCAAAGAAGAATATCATTTCCACTGCTGTTCTGGTTCGGGTGATTTCACAAGGACCTTGAGCAAAAATAAATATTCGATTATGTTATGTCCTTTTGATATTTAAATTTCTGATAGTATCGGTCCATCTTTTAAGTTTAATCCGATTTATTTGATCAAGACAGTGCTTAATTACTTTATTAGGACTGGGCGTGGCTTAGTAGTAGCGTGCCCGGGCTGTGAATCAAAGTGTTTGTGTTTCGCGTTCCGTTGCCGCAAAGAATATGCTTTCTACACTTTGTAGGCGTTGGTGCCGTATACAACTAACGGCTAAACCCTACTATTCGATCAGTTACCAGCAGCCCAAGAGTTATCGGTGGGGGCTTTTCTAACTTAACGTGAAAGTTTTGAAACAGACTATTTTGGAACATGCTATCTTAACAACACCAAGAAAGCCTAACTACAGAACGTGTAGCTGTACAATATGTATTAATATATGGCCTACCATTTCTGTAAGCTTTAAATCCTTAAGAAAAGTCCAGAGACATCACTCATGCTGATTTCCTCAGCTTTTCTAATGTAAACATGTATATTTATATTTACCCTCAGACTCTGTTACAAAAATACATATAATTTCATATTTCATGAAATATTATGTCCAATATCAGTTTAAGTGTAAACATGATGTTGTTATACTCCATAAGCTGTATTTATTAACTTTTTTTTACAATTATGTTTTAAGTATCTATAAAAATTAGCCACCGAGTCCTAAGTTTCTTGTTTCTCACAGATGAAAGACCTGCAGCATGACCACATTGTTCGGTTTCTGGGTGCATGCGTAGATCCTCCTCATTGTTGCTTAGTGACGGAATACTGTCCAAAAGGTAGTCTACAAGTAAGTGTTAAATCGACTACGTTATGTTCAAAGTGAGATATTTTCTTTGCGTATTTAACTTCAAGTAACACACTGTTCTTGAAAAGAAATAGCCTGCAAATAGTTTGATATATCTGTTCTTCGGGTTTAAATAAACAATTCTGACTTCAATCAATGCAACTAAAGATCTAATATTAGAAATGTACATTATATTAATATGTACTAAACGATTAAAAAAAACATGATCAACCTGAGTTTCATTCATTGTCTATGATGATGCAAGCATCACTTGCATAAGCCGATTTCTTTCTTGATAACATAGTCACAAGAACAAATTATCTGTTAATTAACTTATACAAATATCATAGCATAAAAATATATCATTGTTTTGTTAGCATGATTTGAAATACAGTTTATGATGTGGCGTAAAATCCTCATTTAATAACTCAAATGACAGGATATCTTGGAGAACGAGGAAATCAAGCTTGACTGGATGTTCCGGTACTCGTTGATGCATGACTTAGTCAAGGTAGGGTTTTAGAAGTTAGTATTGAGTCGTGTGGTGATATCTCAACAGCATTTTTAGTTGAGATCTTTACTTATTACACATACTGACTTGATATCGAGATAAATAAATAAATAATGAAAACTTCTGACTATTTAAAGTTTATTAGTTACATTCCAATTTCATACATCTATTTTTCATTTCTTTTTGTAACGAAAGCTGAAAAATAAACCACCACAGAAATTACAAATACTGAATATAAAAATAGAAACTAAAAATGTGTCTAAAATTTATTATTCGTGTAGGTTGTATCAGGAATTATTAAAAAGATTTGGTGTGTTTTTTCTTAATAATTGTTTTGTCCTGTGAGCTTATTTATACCTTATTTAACGAACTCAAGCTTATATGTCCGTGTTATATATTTCAAATATTTAAGAAATTCTAATGTATTATTTCGTTTCTAGTCCTTTTAAAATCTTTTTATTGTGTTTGTTATTAAGCACAAGGCTACACAAAGGGTTGTGTATGCTTTGCCCAACCGCAGGTATCGAAACCCGGTTTCTAAGAGTATACATACCACTGTACCACTGGCGGGCTTAAAATTTTGAGCCACATTGGAAATTGTGGTATCTGGTAAAGTAATATAAGAATTGAAAAGCCTTACTGCCAATAATGTGAAAATTTACAACATTTTGGGAGCGGTTATTGCATTTAGCAGATTTTAGTTGTATGTGAGACCCTTAAATTTAATCTGAGTGAAGTTTTAGATATCAGAGTTATACTGCTAGCTAACTCGTTTGTAAATGATCTAACAATTCGAATGCCAAACAAAGACGGTGTTACTTATACCTACTCGTCACCCGTTGGGTCAGCGGTAAGTCTTCGGATTTGCAACCCCGAAATGGGGGGTTAAACCCCCTCGGTTAACACAGTGGCTTTGCTATAATAACACACACACACCCTTATACATACTCAAATCTTTCATAGTATTCTTCGTGTGGATGAGTGATGTTTAAATCTTGAAAGAAATAATTTATACCAACTCGAAAACTAAAAAAAAAGAGGAAAGAATAGGAAATGCAACTAATAAAGAATACCATATGCATGCATATACTTTACAGAAAATTCTGAAAAAAGTCGGTTTACCTGTATTCATAGAATGATTTGTTTTTCTGTCCCTTTGCATCTCTGTTCTTTTTTTTTCTCGCAATGTCACGGTTTCCTGGAATGCTTCAAATAAAAACTAATCGCCATGTTTGTCGGTGAAAGTTTGTTTGTTTGAAGTTAAGCACAAAGCTACTCAAAGGCTATCTGCGCTCTGCCCACAACAGTGGTCGAAACCCGGTTTCTCGCGTTGTAAGTCCGCAGACATACCGCTGTGCCACGGGAGCGGCGGTGTGTGAGGTTAACTAACTGTCTTCTCTCTAGTCTATTATTAATAAGTTAGCCCTCGAATTGCTTTGCGCGAAATTCAAACACCAGTAAACAAAATAAAAGTTTTTTCATTCGCTTATTCGTTTGTTTCATTCAGAGATATAGTTTTATTTTCAAAAAGAAATAAATGAAGGCGACAATAATTTATAAGAAATATGAAGTAAGCACGTAATTATATACCGGAAATATATATTCATTAGTAAAGTTCATTTATTAACCTTAAACTATATGTCAAGATGTCTGGCCAAAATACTGAGTTTTAAATTGTTTTGATTAAGATGTATCATAAACATACATTGTATAAGTATGCTACATTTCCTGTTACACAACTGCCATGGCCAGGTGGTTAGAACGCTCGACTCGTAATCTGAGGGTCGCGGGTTTGAATCTCCGTCACACCAAACATGCTCGCCCTTTCAGCCATGGGGGCGTTATAAAGTGACGGTCACTCCCACTTTTCGTTGGTAAAAGTGTAGCCCAAGAGTTGGCGGTGGGTGTTGATGACTAGCTGCCTTCCCTCTAGTCTTACACTGCTAAATTAGGGACAGCTAGCGCAGATAGCCCTCGTGTAGCTTTGCGCGAAATTCAAAACAAACAAACATACACAACTGCGTTCTAATGGTTATTTTGTTGACTCGTAGTCTTGCCATTATAGAAAGTCCATGATATCATCTTGCCAAGAATATATATATAATTTATGAATTACTTTAAGCAATCAGGTTGTATCTTTTATAGAATGAAAAATATATATATATCTTTGTCGTTTAAGTAAAATCATCACTTATATATTAACCATTGATTTGGTATGATTTATTTTAAAACAATTTCAACATAGTTCTTCCATTTAATTTTAACAACTTAACTTTTCCAGGGCATGGCTTATCTACATAACAGTGATATTCGTACCCATGGAAACCTTAAGTCATCAAACTGTGTGGTCGATAGTCGATTCGTTTTGAAGATCAAAGATTTCGGGCTCCACAGTTTCCGAGTTTACGAAGAGAATGTTGATGAAGCTTCATACGCCTACTGGAGAAGTAAGAACAGTTAGAAAAGATGTCATTAAATTATAGAATTGTTTTTGTACTAGAAATATGCTACATTTGTCTTTCATCCTTTATATTTTTAACTGTCTGTCTGTGTGTCTGTATACGCCTCACTATAGGGAGTATTATGGTTTTCTTATTTGGGTTTAAATTTCTGCCTACTTTATGAATACATCACAACAATAAAACATAATCTCAATCACAAAGTCAGCTAGTTGACAAGATTCTTAAAAAAACATATTAAGGATGTGTCGATTTTTTTCTGTTATTATTAAGGATGTGTCGATTTTTTTCTGTTATTATTAAGAATGTGTCGACTTTTTTATAGACTTCTAACAGTAAAGAAGTATAAATGATGAACTAAACTTAGCACATTCTTCTTAATTAATCTATTACGAACCTAGTATTAGAAGACTGTAACTAATTTGATCGATTTAAAATTCATAACGGACTAATTAAAAAAAAAGTAGTAAAAAAGAAAAACACTTGGAATCATGTAAGGGTTTCTTGAGTATTTTTGGTAGAACTGACAGAAAATATACATTTAATTCTTCTATACAGGTCGGTTTCCATTAAACCGTAGAATAATGCTTAATTGTGGTCTTTATTAAGAAGCTAAATTTACATTATCATACAGAAAAAAATCGACACATCCTTAATAATAACAGAAAAAAATCGACACATCCTTAATAATAACAGATGACAACAGTAATTACACTCACTTCTATACAGGCAATTTGACAAACATTTCTCTAATTATTTCACGTCTGAATTTTCAGTTATTCAAATTCCTAATCATAAGTTTAAAAAAAACACATGATGTGAGAAATTTGAATCATATAATGAATACTGTCACAATGACTTACTTAGTCGATTTCATTGTAAAATCCAAGTGGCATGTTCGTCTAATATAATGTGTGTTTAAAAACGTACATCCATGTATGAGCAAGGAATTAGATGAAAATGTGAAATATTTTCCATGTGAAATATGCAAACATTATTATGAATGAACAAATAAAAAAATAATAATTTTTTTTCTTGTGAATTTATGGCAAGACTTGTTATTAAAGTATATATGAAAATTATGACCGATGAAACTAAAAACCAACCACATTTTAGTTAAGTCATATAATCTATATAACTATAAAGCATACAAAGTTTATATTACGTAAAACAATATTAAACACTAAAAATCGTTTGTTGGGTCCAGGCGGAGAAACATGGAAGTTTGCGGTTTCACATGTTGTGTTTTGCAGTTCTTATGTCCGTTTTTGCGTTTTTTTACAATTACGTGTAAGGGAAGCAACTTTTCATCTTTTAAGATAACCTTTCATTAATCATGAATTTACATAACTTCCGTCCAAGAAACGGGTACAGGTAGTAATTTAATAAAATAAGGTTTCAAAACAATTATATATATATATATATATATAATAAGGACCTTAAAACGGAGAGTGTGGTGAATAGCGCCAGAGCTGGCAAATCAAGGTCCTTATTTGGTATCAAGCGTAATAAAATATCATATTAAAGCTGATACTCTTAAATACTCTACTCTTTATTGATATATTTCAGATTTCGAATAATAATAACATGTAATAGAATTTCAAATACAATGTTTGTCAACGACCATTGTCAACGACGCTTAACACCCAATACCTATGCTAGATCTCATCACGTTAACTGCACTTATTCGTTAAATCTTCTCATTTATTGCGCTAGAGTACAAACAACGTCAGGTAAAGTTAATCCTTACTAAATTCAAATTTACACTTTGCGATAATCAGCTAATATTATCTCCTACTGTTAAATTCCTAGATACTAGTTTCAATATTAACACCTGCTACACGAGCCAACTCGACATCTTGGTGTGAATAAAAAATAAGTCATTCCGGAAAGGTTTGGGTTGTTTTGATTAGACAAAAAAAGAAGCCATTTGGCACTATTTTCGAGGTCTAGGTCGCTGGACCAGACCCGTAACCTGACCCGAGACCAAGAGAGCCAACATGGAGAAGTTAACTTGTAAATGTAAAGTAAAACGATGTAGCAATGAAACATTCTAGATGTGTTTGCGAATGTGGTGGTTTAAGTGTAGCGATGAACCTAAACCGTAGGTCCAGATCGGATGAGGAAAGAACTTATTCGAAGATATCCCAATCAGATTGACATACCAGCTGAATAGGAGATTCATCAATTGATTACTTCATTGACAGCGAAGCATAAACAAATAGGCATAACAATATTGTTATCTTCATAAAGAGGGATTGGAATCATATATAAATCAGATATGAGAAATCATTAGTTTCAATATTTTATGAAACTAACGGCACAGTAAAGCCTAAATATGCAGTGTTGAACGTAAATCAGATACACGATGCATTCATTAAAAGATGATTTTCCTTGCGATTCTGAAATTAAAAATGTCATTTCTGCAATGAAGAGTAAATATAAGAAGGTTGATATAATGCCAAGTACGGTATCATCGTAATATAATCCATATAGCTTTCGTTATGTAATATTTTTATTGATATTTAGTTTATTTTTAGAAGTTGTGCCGAGCTTCATTCATTGAGATCTATTAAAATAGCCCTAAATAACCCGTTCTCGGAATGACCCCCTATTGACCATCCTAAGCTCACTACTAAAAAAATGATGGGCTGGACAATTTACTATTTTCAAGCTCGTTATCCAAAGCTTGTGGACTATATTAGTTACCAATTATTTGTTTGCCTTAACCTTCATTTTTTTTGTTAATCATAATTCCTATACAAATCAATTTTTTTAATATTGCAGATACGCCTTTCCCCTGTGAAAATATCTCCCTCCTTTTAATACTCTTTGTCAATTTGTTTTAATAAATTCTGGTTTTCTATTAGTATCTCTTTTTCTTTCTTCTACCCTATGTTTATTCTTACTTTTTCTTTTGAAGTGGTAGTATCTGTACCAGGCTGTGTCTATATTAATCTCTTCCTTCTAGGTTATTCTATTTTTCTTTCTGTTCCTCTCTTTTAATGATTTTCAAGAAATCATTTCTTAAAATTTGAGTACCCCAGAATTTAACCTAGAAAACTTCTGTCATGGCTTCTACTTTGTCTGGAATATGACATACAATATCATAACTAAAGCATTATTTATGGGTCGCTTTTTATTTGTAGTGACCTACGACGTATATTCATATCATGAGTCAATGAAAATAATCTCTCTAACAAACATTTAAGTAAATAAAAACAACAACACTCTGGATTTGGGGTGTGAACTTAGATTCTTTGACTAACAAAGTCACTACTTTCTCCAACTGACCTAGTTAATATTATAAGCCAAGGTATTCTCCATTAACTTACGTGTATGAAACTTCAAACTACTTTGGGTTATTATAAGCCAAGGTATTCTCCATTAACTTACGTGTATGAAACTTCAAACTACTTTGGGTTATTATGGTTATTAGTGGATTGATTTACCACGACCCAACCAAATCATAAGATTAACTACATTTGAATATATATATTTATTTATTATTACTATATTTAATTCATGTTATGAATCAATGAAAGTAAACTTTCTAACAAGTATTATTATAATTAAAAAAGTCATTTTTGTCTTTTAACAGTTTCTGTAAGAGCTTATGATAGAATTAGTAAAATAGTTGATATTTAAAACAAAAATATGATCTACAAAATATTAACTGTTGGTGGAGATATTCGGTTTAAAAACGCCATTCTTAGCTGCTAGTCAGCTTAATACTCATAATGTATTCAACTGTCTTTTATTTCAAAGATTGAGTCACTGATTTAGCTTAAATAGTATATTCTACAAGCTGGGGTACGCGTCCTTTGTCCGGGTTACGAACTTAAATATAATGTAGGCTGGATGCCGCAATAAATAACACAAAAATCCTAACTTAGAAACAATTTTATATAACACTACATAATATTACAATATTCATTATTACCTCACCAAAAGTTTTATATAAGCTTTAAGAACTCAATATGTATATACTTAAAGCATGGTATACACTGTGTGAAAGTCAGGGTGACTTTGTAGGAAGAGGTAGCGGCAAAATTAGTGGCGGTAGGGGTGATTTCTCTTACCCGCTTTCAACACCTAGCTCTTAATGCCCTTCCACAATCTTTCATGTAATTAATTAATTGACGGTCATTGGCCACAGAAGTGTCTTACGGGCCGAAGTTGAAAGGTCACAGGTCAAAGTAGAAACTGGGTGTAACCTAAGAAACGGCTCTTCATATCGGCCTTATGGTGGCTGTTGGAGTAGAAACTTCAGCTGAGTTTATGTAATAATGTAGTAGTGGCAGCCATTCGTTTCTCTTGAATTCCTCCATATATATATATATATATGTGTATATAAGTCGTTTGTGTGCTCTCCCCCACAATGTGTGTACGTTGTGTCATAGAAAAGTTAATAGTTTTTTGTTTTTGGTGTAAGAACGTGGCGCTATCTATGAATATAGTTAACGTTAACTCGTGTCAAAAATAATAAATGCCCAATAACAGCAATATTGGGGGGATGGAGGTGGATGTGAACAATATTAACATGCCCGTTGTTCCAAACTATCATCCCATAGAGTTTGGTTGAGGTTGGTCCAGCGACCTAGGAGCAGTTAGATAATGGACAAACAGACAGACACACAGATTTTTGTGCTTTATATATATATATATACGAGGAAAAAATAATAACATATAGTTTCTATCATGACTTCTTAATAAATAGGAAAGTTGTGGACAGCTCCTGAGTTGTTACGCATGTCTAATCCACCACCAGAGGGCACACAGAAAGGAGATGTATATTCCTTTGCCATCATCGCTCATGAAGTTGTTGTACGACAAGGATGTTTCTTCTTAGGTCTAATGGAGCTTAGTCCCAAAGGTAAGTTACCCTAGTTCTTAATTTTTCGTAAGATTCACTTAAACATTTCCATTTTAAATGATTTTAAGATATCATGAAATTCGCTTGTATATTGTGTATATCAGGGGAAGATTTAAATAGTAACAAATAAGCTTGTCACTCGTGCTATATGTAAACCCTGAAACCTTTGTTATTTATTGAATTAATGAAAAATTCATCTGCAGGCGTTCTTGGAATCTCTTATAAGAAAACCCTGTGTCTCTATGATAAATACATATGGTGATAATATTACTATATGATCATTGGGACACTTTAAATAGAGTTTTAAAGTGGGCCTTAAACTGAAAGAAATTAACATGTAAATTAAGCATTACACCTTTACTAAACTGAATAATTCTGCTTAATTATCATGGTAAGCAATAACAATAATGATAATGTACTTTTAATTAATAAAATGTTAGTAAACAAACAGGCTCAGAGAATGATCTTGTGAAGAATAACATTTAATTTTTAAACAGAGTTGCTAAGTTGATTTCGTAATAAAAGTTGATAGCCCATCTCTAGTGTGTACTTTTTGGACTGAAACTAGAAATGCACGGAATCACACCTAAATAAGCGAAGCAGTTCACGTGATTGTTACTGTTCTTTAGGATTGTGGTGTAGAAAGACACTCTACCTCGCCGCTCGCGTCCACATTAAGGATAATGAGACTTCGCTGACAACACATCAAAACCATCAGGTGAAAATCCTGAATTTGCTACAGATTGCGTACTTTTGGGATACCCTTGCATATGTGCATGTTTATGTAAGGTTACTGGAATTTATATTCAAACTTTTGAATTACCGCCATTGCTTGTAATTCGTAATTAGCACCTTCACATACTTTCAATTATGATGAATTAAAACTAATTACAACTCATTTAAAGCGATACATAGGACCTTGGTTTTTCGTTTATAGTTGGTAATATAAACACCCAAATTTCTTTTAAGATCTATCGTATTGAATTTGCTGTATCCTCATATAATTATTATACAATCCCCGTTTGGAACAATGAATAAAGAGCTTAAATAGAAATATTGCATTGAAAATGTAAATCTATTTTTCTCAACTTACGTAAAATAATTTTTGAAGTAATATTCATATATATATATATATATTCATACATCAGTTTTAATCACATTTGAATAAGCATTCACATAATATTACAACACATTAAAACCTGTTGTCTCATATATTCTATAACAAGAAACATAAAAAAAATAATCTCATTTTGTTCGCTGCACATAAAAATAACGTGATATCGGAAAACTACTTAAAATGCATCTAAACGTTTTGTATCTTACTACATTTTCAATATATTTTATTTTTTCATAACAGGAAAAATAAAAATACAGGAGTGGCTATTTTTGCACTTTGAATTGAATGAATAAATCTGGTCTGTTTTTATTTAGTAAACAACTTTTTACATAGCCGTTTATTTCAAACTAATAATTTTTAAGTTGAGCTAGATTTAATATTTGCGTTTAGATATATAATGTTGACATACTTTAGATTAAATTCTATCAAGATAAAGACGAATAACGTTTATTATAACTAAAGCACTAAAGACAGTTTATGTGTGTGTATCTCCATCCTTACACGTATCAAAAATTTTGTAATATGAGATGAAACGTTCTGCCAACTTTACAGTCTCTTTCCGCAATTAATATTAAGTAGTTTTTAGTCAGTTTAATATGCCCCCCCCCCAGTGGCACAGCGGTATGTCTGAGGACTTACAACGCTAGAAATTGGGTTTCGATAACCGTGGCGGCCAGAGCACAGATAGCCCATTGTGTAGCTTTGTGCTTAATTCCAAACAAACAGTGTAATATGAATATCTTGTTTTTTGGAACAAAACTGCACAATGAGCTAGTAGTTTCGTTCTGAGATTACTTATTGATTAACTATATTTTATTACAAGTTAGAGCTTTTTACAATAAGTAAGATTTATATTTAGAACAGTTAACGATTCGTTCTTTACCGTTAAAACTTGTGTACTTGAGAATTACCGCATCAGTGATCGAAACGTCGTACCTGTTCTAAATACAAATTTTACTTACTGTAAAAGCTAATCGGTGCTAAAATAAATAATATTGTGTTTTAATTCTAACTCTAATTATGATATATAAATGACTTGTACAAAATTTTTAATACTACGCTTTGCCAATTTAATCTAGTTTAGTCCATGACAGTCGTTGTTCGTGTAATTTTATAATATAAATATTACTGTGTCTGTCGTATCGCAATTGGCCTGATAATCCCTGGTATTGGGAAAAAAATCTCATCGGCTATCGACAACGCAGATATAGCGTGTTTGACATATTGTTATACATAATTAAATAAGATGAGACAAATCTCGTTTTGCAAGGGAAAATATTAATTTTTCTACTATAATTTAGTGGCTACAAATGCGTGTTTTTGTGGAGCAAAATAATGCAAGTAAGAGTGAATTATAATTTTAGTGAAATGAGAGTAATTGTAGGCATCTAGTTTGAAAATAACTAAAATCTCGCCTGATGAGTCCTAGAAAATGGGAGAAAAGTTAATAATCATACTATGGATGTGGAAAAGCCACTTTGATAATGTTAGGAGATGCTGAGATGAGGTTATTAACAATAAAGAATGAAATGAACTGGGTATAGGTCTTATTTATTAATCGTGTTGTTGCATACATAACCCAGGTGAGAATCCTTTACTCAAACTGGAATCCATTAAAAAATAAAGTCCAAAAAAGGTTGTGATTGCATCTATGTTTTTTTTTTAATCGACATATCATTTACAGGAAATATTTAAGTATCATACATTTATATATTCATTATTTATATTTTAATGACCATGCTAACAAAGTCTAGTTTATCAGTTTCAATTGGTTGTTGAGCAGCTTAACACAGAGTAAATAAACCAATTATTTTTACTATTTATTTGACTATTGTATTACTCATAGCTGAAATAATTCAAATAGTAAAAATAACTAGAAACTGTTAATTATCTTCATACGAATGTTCATATGCAACGATAATAAGTAATAAAATATTATAATATGGTTAACTTAAATGAGTTTTTGTTGTATTTACAATTTGTTTCTGTTTAAAACCTGTAAGATATATTGTTTATTGTAAACTTACTCAAATAATTAGTAAGCCCTTCTGTTAAATATATACTAATTAAATCATATCCTAAAAGTAACTATACATAAATGAAACTGATCCTGTATAATAAAATAAACAGAACTGAAAGAATAGACCATTCCAAGCTTTTATTTGTTGTTAATCAAATGTTCAAACAACTCTATTCAAGAAAACTTATAATGATTAAATTTCACTAAATTATCAGTTGGATATCGTCGCTATTAAATACATATTCAGGCGTACTTTCCTTTGTATTTCAGGATGTTCAACCAGTTTAGAAACTTTACGTTAGCCCTCTGTACACTAAACCACCAATGCAAAATAATCATCGTAAATGTATAAATTTACAGTTATTATAAACATTATGACCAATGATACTGTTGTGACTAACCAATGAGACGTCTGCTAATGAATTAAAATTACCTTAAGATATTCAACAACTATATTAAATATGACAATCAATAATATAGAAAAAAGGAGTATTTCATTAATTAAACAACACAATGATTTAGTCCATAGAACTAACCAATATATAAAACATTCATAAACTTTCGGTATAGGTACTTATAAAAGTGAAAAATTTCATGACCAAACATGGCTTAGTGGTTAACATTCCTTCATTGTGAATTCAAAGGTTCAGGGCTCGCGTCCCGTTGCCACAAAACACGCATATCGCGCTTTGGGACCGTGAGTTGCAATAAGAGCGACGGTCAAAGCCTAATATTTGATCAGTTAGAAATGAGTAACATTTTAGAGCTAATATCTCTTTGTGTGAGTTTGAGCTAAATTTCTAGGACATAAATATACAAATACACACACACATACACATACGAAAGTTTCATGTAGTGAAAAGTGCTAATAAAGTTAAATGATAACCGTGCTCTCAACTTTTCGTTCAAATTGGTGAGCCTAGCAAAAGTAATTTTGTCTGATTATTTCAAATTAACGACTAATTGAAAAAAAAATGGTGTTTGGGGTGTTCAGCAGTGAGTGAGTTAAATTGAAATTTGGAAGTTTCGGAATTTAACTCAAAACGTATATTATTTTCCAGTGAAGAAAACATGTAAGTGCATATCGTTTTATAATTTATCAAATTTTATAAATTATAGATATGTCTAATAAAAGGTTCCCACAAATGTTTGTTCACGTTTTAAGAACGTAATAGATTTTAATCAAACAAAGATAAAGACATGAGGTATGTGTTGGTCTAAAACCCCTCAAGTTTTATTCTGACTCACCAGTTGTGGTCTAAACACGGATTCCGAATTTTGTCAACAAATCTCAACTCATTCTGTAGTCATGGAATTTAACTCTACTGTTCTCATACACCTTTCATTTTGACGAATTTAGTGATGGTATAAAAAGCTCAGTGATTCAGGATCATCATGTCTTAAGAGGAGCATTGGGAGATCTAGCGGAAATAAAGACACCGTCGTCTCAACAATCGACCTATTGAACGCACTTACCAATACATTCAGGAGAACATTTCTCGCCATAATTGGAAGAAGATGGTGTTATTGGTGTTTTTTCTAGCAAGGCGGGAAACCAACCCCTTTTTAGACTTTTCATTCAAAAGTAACTGAGCAATATCCTACCGAGCTAATGTATAGTTCGTATGAAACCGTTAACCTGGGCGTTGTGCTCTCCAGTTTTGGAGTCGTCAGACTTTTGGCTGTGAAGCCATGACATCCACGTCCACGGTACCAGCTACGCGTGCCGATCGCAAGGATCGTACCAGAGAAACAATGGGTGTAACTCAAAAACTCGTGCTTGTTAACATGTTCGAGGAATGGCAAGGATCGTACCAGAGAAACAGTAGGTGTAACTTAAAAACTCGTGCTTGTTAACATGTTCGAGGAATGGCAAAGATGCCTACATATGAACACTGAGGTCGAAGCTGTCATGCAGAAAGATGATATGAAACTTCTCGATATGTCAACATGAACTTTGCTGCATATATTTATTATTAAACTGATTACATATAAAAACGCGTACGAACGATTATAGACACCTATATTTTGAAGATGATGAGTACCCCATGTTGTACCAGCCAATCTCTTATGAGTCGAGGCCAAGCATGGCCTTGTGGTTAGTATGATGAACTGTGAAAAAGAGGGTCTATTGCTCACGTCCCTTTGTCGCCGAACACAAATCGTGCTCTGCACTTTGGGGCTATGGATATGTTAAGAGTGACGTTCTAATCACACAAGTGTTGGTGGTGAGTGCTGCTTACAAGCTGCCTTTCCTCTAGTTTAGCAGTTCATATTTATCCCTTGTGTAATTATACGCAAATATCCTAATCAAAGTATCATTCATTCCCGTTATTCGATTGAAAGAGCAGGACAAAGTCTTTGTGACGGAAAGTGCTGATGATTGGCTGCCTTCTGCCTAGCCAGTAGTTCAAAATTAGGATATACTGTACTTGATCACTTTGCTCAAGTGCGCATAAGGTACCATTAAGATGGAAAATTCAAATCCATTTTCGTTATGATTTTTTTAGAGATTTACACAGTAAAGCACACAAACAAATTATTCAAAATATTATCATTATGAGTTAATTTTCTATTGCGTGGGTGGAATATTGGTTCCATTTCCTCAACTAGACTATAGCTGTAATACAAAATGAGAAGGGCCGGATGATTATGTTATTATGTAAATACGTATATTTGATTTATATAAGAAGCCCTGTAATCAGATGTTCCGTGTACTTAATGCAAATACTCATTCAACCAAATCTGTTTACATTTTACATCAAACACAAATATGAGTCAGTCAGAGTGCAAAGAATAGTGTTTAATTGAACACGAAAATTCTAGATTATTGTTCAAATATAATTCATCATCAACGTCTTTTTGTAGCGCCGTCACTGGGTTCTGTTTGGTGTTTTGTCTTTTTTTTCTTTTTTTTTTATAAACACGGTTTTCGTTAAGAAATTGGAGATATAATTAGAAAATTTAACTGAAATGCGTAACTACATGGACAGCAACCTGCTTTATTTATACACGTTTTTGTCAAAAAACCAACAACAGAAGTATGGTCCTTAAATGAACGAATCTCTAAAACTGAAATGAAAACGAACATTATTTGATGCGTGGATAATACAAATGTAAAGTCGATTTCTGATCACCAACTGTTACTTGAATAAAAATAATAACTGCAAAATGACTTTATATTTGTATTGTGTTAATACATGTAAAACGATTAAGTAAGTGGATAGCCCAGACTTTCAAGAGTACGGTTATCAAAAATATAAGACAGGAATAATTTTAAATACTGTTCTTGTACAGATCATAAGAAGAAAAAAAAAGATTCGTTTATTTTTAGCACAGTCTTGAAACCTTCAATGGTTATTTGTTATCAGTGACACATAAAATTGGCCTTAGTAATAAAGACTAATCATGTATTATAAAGAGAAAACGTAGAAACTCAAAATTAAGTCATAGAGTCTAGATGGGAAACATGAAATAGGTGGTTTTGTTGTTTTCTATTGTTGCTTTTAGGCTTGTCTTCCAACTCAAGATAAATTGTTGTATTTCCAATAGCCCCCCAGTGGCACAGCGGTATGTCTGCGGACTTATACCGCTAGAAACCGGGTTTCGATACCCGTGGTGAGCAGAGCACAAATAGCCCTTTGTGTAACTTTGTGCTTAATGATAAACAACAACAATATTTCAAATATATGCCGTTTTTGTATTTGCGTATTGCTAATGGATTTGATGAGGTTTTTTTTTCTTCAGAAATTGTGGAGCTGGTAAAGAAAAATGATAAACCATATTTTCGTCCTTTGCTTGAAGAAGACTTGTGTGATGAAGAGTTGGCCTACATGATCAAGCGTTGTTGGGCTGAAGATCCGGCTGAGCGCCCGGATTTCCAGAACCTAAAATCCATTATCCGGAAGCTCAATAAGTAAGTATAGTTTCGATGGATAGTACTAACTTATTATGGCCTAAATGATCTTATCTTTCATAGTTAAAGTATTGAACATTGTGTGGAATGAAGAATGTGCACTGTAAACAAGAATGAGGCTGTGTATGTTTAGCTCTGGCACATCGATTTAATATTACACGCTACCTACATCCTTATAACTTTACTCCTTAAAAAAAAGGAAATCTATAAAGCAACCTTTAACATTATCAGTCAGTTGGAAGACTGTGAAAGTAAAAACAAAAAAATGGGTTCAAATCTATCATAACATGGGTTATAAAGAAAGGCTAAAAAAGCTAACAAAATATCGTTACAAACACAGATCCTTTATAACTCTTTGTTTCATAACATCTTCAATACAAACACGCCAATATATTCAAACACGTGGCAAAATTATCTGAACGGATGGTATGTTAGTAGAAACAACTGGTGACAATGAATAAAAGAACCTACTGAAAGAACCAATACCCGTAAATATTTATACATATATATGTGTGTGTGTAAATAACGTTCAAATCTTCTACATTAACAAATCGTGTAGTTGAGTATTTACAATCTACAGAGAGTTGAATACTTTATATTAAGACAATTTTTGAGCCTCACCACGCCGCTACGTTTATCTATATTTTATCTGACGGCCGTATATCTTGACAATAGTTCTCCAGTGAAGATTCTATTACAAAAGGTTCCGACTTAGAATTGTCATGCCTAAAGTACTAAAAGTAGGATAACGACGGTTTCCCAGAGCCCGTTTCAACTATCCGCTCGCACAGAAATCCATAGGCAACGGGTCTGGTGACTTGACTGGCATGTATTCACATTGAATAGCATGAATGCTCGTTTTATTCTTTGTGCTTGTGGATTCTAGTATGTTACAAGACGCCACGGCTGGGATACGACTTGTTGCAGGCACCTTTCTGAATGGTCTTGATGCTCCTAGTTGATCCATATTCGTTTGATTTTCTAATGCCATGAAGTACAAGGAGTATTTCCGTCTGGGAAATTCTAGATTCCCTGTCTGAAAATATCTTTATAATCTGAGTATATGAATATTTTGTGTCGAAAAAGACCTGCTTTGTACATCCCTCCGAAAGATGATAAATTTTCTATGACATCAAAACTACCTGGAGGCGCCAAACAATCTCAATGTCTATTTCTGATACATACCATTTCATGCGACATTATATCGGTTGTCACATGACTTGTTGATTTGCATATTCAAAATCATTTTAATATAACGTACTCAGTCGTTTGAATGATGCTGAAACAAATTGTCAAAATCGATAAATAAGTGTACGTAGTGTGTGAAGTACAATAAGAAAAGCTGATAAATATACAGATGATAGAAAATAAAATAAAATCGATATATAAGTGTACACATAAAATAGGTAAAAGGAGGTTAGTTCAATGGGTTAGTAGATGGACAATGAAGAAAAGAACTGGCGAATTATATATATATATATACTATTTTCTATGAATGAGGTAACGTAAATTGGCCAAAACTGATTATTAGGAATACAGATGGCACATAAAAAATCAAGCAAATCGAATTTATGAATAATGTAAAGAAACACTGAGGTAGATAGATTGGATCTGATACAAATACAAGTGGGCACTATATTTTGTTTTGATCAAAACAAAAACGAAGTATCTATGCTACGAATGGAACACGTAATTACTGTTTCAAATCAGATGTAAAGATGTTACATATGATGTATCTACCACTAAAATGGTCTTGTAATATTGTGATGAGTCAATATCTGACATTTTGTGATTGACTTGCTGGTTTTAGTTCCACTTTAATGAAGTGCACCAACGAAGCTTTCAAGGTATCTAATGCTCGAAATGATCAAATAATAATGTTAAAAACAGAATGCATTCCCTTATGAAAATAACAATAGAATTAATAGTGAGGTACTTGATATTATTAATTAATTGGAAGTGCTTCATGGCTGACTGACCAATAGGCAGTGTATGTATACGCGCGCTTTTATGCCTAGATAATTCAAAATTACATATAAACAAACCTCACATTGACGTTACCATTGTTATGAATTACAACAATTGCTGTAAATAGCAGCAAATATATCTTGTTTTATTTTAGTCTTGACTTTTCGTCTGTATATGAGCATATTTGCATCAACTCGCACCATGAGATCAAGTAAAGAATATAAATAAGATGTTGGAATACTGATAATACATTTTATCTGCTACCCGGAGTCGAATTAAGGCTTAGTAAGACCCCAGGCCCATGTAATACTTGGGAATAATAATGATAATAATAAATCTATCTTCCCTCTATTCTGCTAGTTTTACGAACCATTTTTCTTTTACTTGGGTGGCCGGTAAGGCCCCCTGTATGGCCGGGGCCCTAGGTGGCCTATGCATTAAGCCGGTACTTCTGCTACTAAATGTTTTCAACTTTTAATTTTTCATAAAAAAAACATTACATCTACAACAGTAGTCGAAGCCAACAAATAATATTTGTGTGTTCCGTAACTAAGATATATTTTATTATTTCTTTATTGTTACTTTCATTAACAATATTGTTTAGAATGTTTAATATGTCTAACTTTATTACTTGTAACTTTATTTTTAATAGCTGGAGTGCCCGTCCCTGAAAGGAAGTTATGTAAATTCATGATTAATGAAAGATTATCTTAGAACATGAAAAGTTGATTCTCTTATATGTAATTGTAAAAAAAAAAAAAAAACGACAAAAACGACCATAAAATCTACAAACGCAAAATGTGCAACCGCAAACTTGCATGTATCTCCGCATGGACCCAACAAACCTTCATGTCAAATTTGGTGAAGATCCATCAACAGGGGACGAAATAGTGGTAAAAAATTCCCAAAACCGCAAAATTCAAAACTAAAAATTTGTATGTATCTCTCCAAGGATCCAATGAACCACCATATCAAATTATATGAAGATCCATCCACACCCTACGAAGTAGTTACATGGACATACAACAGACAGCAGACAGTACTATTATATTTATGTAGAATATTACTGTAGAACTTGTTTTCCATTGTTAGTTTAATATATGTATTTAGAACTAACATAAAACTCCTAATGTAGCCAAACCTTGTGAAATATTATTATAATTACAATAATATCATTAACAGAGAAGGTACCCAACTGATGAGGCAATGCATTCTAATATTTATATGTAACAACTTACGAAAAGCCTATTTCATTAACTGTAGGTTCACTCTAGGTAGGTAGCTTGCTCTGATCGAAAGTTAATATAAAATATTAATTTTATTTCGGTTAATATATATATAATTAGTATAATTCTCGCTATTATCATTTCTAAACGCCTTTCTTGATTGTGAATAACTTAATTTGAAAGTTGTCGTAAGCATCTATTAAACTTCTCTTTTATTTTATGTGATGTGTCAAATCACCAAAGAATTTTTCAATGTTCTGGTGAAAAATATAAAACAACTAATTAGTTCAAGAAAACTGATTTCATGATGTATTTTAACTATAAAACCGTGTAATTTTGTTTAGTTCTGGTAGTTAAAATGAATTAACGATCCGCATTTTTAACTAAAACATCCTGACAGCTCACCACTATATCACCACAGATATTTTACTTAAAGGCCCGGCATGGCCAGGTGGTTAAGGCACTCGACTCGTAATCTGTGGGTCGCGGGTTCGAATCCCCGTCACACCAAACATGCTCGCTCTTTCAGTCTTGTGGGCGCTATAATGCTGCGGTCAATCCCACTATTTGTTGGTAAAAGAGTAGCCCAAGAGTTGGCGGTGAGTGGTGATAACTAGCTGCCTTCCCTCTAGTCTTACACTGCTAAATTAGGGACGGATAGCGCAGATAGCCCTCGTGTAGCTTTGCGCGAAATTCCAAAACAAACAAACAATTTTACTTAAATAGTAAGACTTTTAAAGGAATCACTTTCATACCAAAGTTTATTGTCTATTATATATATAAATCCCCAGCAAGTGAATCCATGATATTACAAAGTTACTTACCATGAATTGTTTATAAAATTACATTTCTATTTCGAGATGTTTTTTGTATTGATCGATTATACACTGAGACACTAGAGGGCAGTATCCATTTGTAAACAAATATTTTGTACTAGATCTTTATTTGCACATTTCTATGAAAAAAAAACATGCCAAATGCATGATAAAATTCAACGACATGTGCTAAATTTCAATGTATAAAATAACAATATAAATTCAAATATAAAACTCATGAACAATGGACAAAAGTGAATATTACATTCAAAGAGGTAAAATCAAAAACTCGAACTGGTACAGCATGTTTACTTTTCTTAACAGTATACATATACATGTCCCAATTGATATGCTGATGTGAATTATGTGTCTTATATGATTAGCGTATGGTGAGAGTGAATAAAAACAAGCGTTGAACCACTGAAATAAGTCTTAACCTGATTGGAACTGATATTTGTAACTTATATTGAAGTTTAGGCCAATTTAGAAATATTAATCGAAGATAAACAAAACTATACATCTGAAGTGTGTTTCCTGTGGAATGCTCGTGCCTGTTGTTCGGTTTAAAGACGACGTTTCGAGCACTTTGTTAAGTACTTCATAAGGTCATAATCATGATAATTTTCTGTAAACTTTCAGGGACAATGAAAGTGGAAACATCCTTGATAACCTGCTGTCTCGTATGGAACAGTACGCCACAAACCTGGAATCACTGGTTGAAGAACGAACAGCAGACTACTTGGAGGAAAAACGGAAAGCTGAAGATCTCCTCTACCAGCTTCTTCCAAAGTATGTATATTTGAACGATACAGTGGAGATATATTTGATTTGATTTTTAAGGGGAATGAATATTCAGATTATTTTATTTTCTGTTTTATTAACTTATGTTCATATTTTGCTGACTCTTGCATACTATTTTACAGCAGCTCAGTCACAGACTTTATATATATGGTTACATAATTCTAGAAAATTTTACTGCGTATTCTTCTCTCTTTTAGATACAATTTTATCCAATATGAAAATACGACTTGTATTGTAATATATTGCTTTTTATGTTTTGAGACCACGTTCACTAATCCGTTTATACGTTTAACCATTCCTATGAATCAACTTTTTGAAATATATTTTTCGTGTAAGTGAAATCAACTAATAATTTTTTCTCGTGCATTACATTTTACACCCTATACCACCACGTATTGATAAAAATATCTTCATTGATTTGAATTGTTCTAAATTTAAAACAACATTTTCGCCCATATGTATTTAAGAGTATTTGAAGAAATGTAGAAGTATCTCCGAAGTCGTCAGAGTTTCTGTAGTTCTTATGGTTTGTGCTTAGTGACATTTATCGAGATATAGAAGAATAACATTCGCTCATGATTTAATATCATATCAATTAAGACTCAAAATGATTAATACGTTTCCTGAATATGTTCTTCAGAGCAGGGGAAGCTGAATCCTGTGGCTACTGCTCTTGTCTTTTTTGGAATTGACGTATACTTCAGTGGATCCGACAGGGGACACTACAAACGTTGCAAAGATATTAGGAAATAATTCAGCAAACACGAAAAAAAACACATATTGTGTTCATTATATAATAAAAAAAGGTGCTCAGTAAAGTATTCCACGATTTGATATAATTACCACGGACTCTCTAAAATAAAACTATTTTGCCTCATCTGAACATTTCTTCAAAAACTGAAAACCAACTAAGTTGCTATGATGCTGAATCAGAGAGCTTTCCTGAACTTATTGAGCTGGAACTACTTCTATGATTTTGTACATTACTGAATGAACAAAACTGATTTCAATACAGTTGTAAGAACTGGACTGTATGTTTATCTAAATACGTGTGTAAACATATAGTAGCATTTAACTCTTCCTACTATACAGTATATTTAAAGATAATTAAATCACTATTTGTCTGTGTCATGGAAATGTAAAAAAAGAATATTAACACATTGACGAGGAAAACTTTCTGTTCCTATACGTTGGATAATTATTAATTTTAGTAGTTAAAGTTGCACTCAATTTGTTTTTCCTCAGGTCAGTAGCCAGTCAATTGATTCGAGGAGAGGCGGTAACAGCCGAGTCTTTTAACTGTGTTACAATCTACTTCAGCGACATAGTAGGCTTTACGACATTGTCAGCACAGAGTACTCCAATGGAGGTATTTAATGTTTTTAAGATGAATAAAATTTCGTTATCCTTTAAGTTAAAATATGTGAGACAATCTTTTAAAATGATAACAATAATCAACTGATTAAATATTTTCTCACGTAGATTGTGAAAATATATGTTGGCATTATTTGTTTGTTTGTAATTAATCACAAAGCTACACAATGGGCTATCTGTGCTCTGCCCACCACGGGTATCTAAACCGGATTCTAGCGTTGTAAGTCCGCAGACATACCGCTGTGCCACTGGCGGACATTTTGGCATTAATACTCAAAGAAACTGAAATTGTGCCCCCCCCCCCAGTAGCACAGCGGTATGTCTGCGGACTTACAACGCTAGAATCTGGGTTTCGATACCCGTGGTGGGCAGAGCACAGATAGCCCATTGTGTAGCTTTGTGCTTAATTTCAAACAAACAAAGAAACTGAAATTGTCATAATCACTCAGGCAAATAACCTTAAACTGCATTTTCACATATTCTGTTGAATAAGTTTTAGCTTGTGTGTTTCTAAAAGTTAACTGTTTAACTTATGTGGTTTTGATGTTCTTTTCCTAATTATAATTGCCCAGTCAAAATCAAAAATCTAATTATATTTTGAAAATACCTACTATTTAAAAGGTTTGAAAAGTCTAGTATCTCTAGTTAAATATAAGAATAAAACCTCAACAAGAAATTCTCCTATTTGTTAGTGTGGTCTTTATATCTCATAATTAGGCCCGGCATGGCAAGGTAGTTAGGGCGCTCGACTCGCAATCTGTTGGTCGCGAGTCGAATCCCCGTCACAATAAACATGCTTATAGTGTGACGGTCAATCGTTGGTAAAAGAGTAACCCAAGAGTTGGCGGTGGGTGGTGATGACTAGCAGATAGCTCTCTGTAGCTTTGCACGAAATCCGTAACAAATAAACAAACAATCTCATAATTAGGAAAATTAAGGAAAAAATACATACTTCAAAATATAAATCAAACCAAAATAAATATTTTCTTATTTGCTTTGATATAACGATGGCAGTAGTTGCTCCAGTCAGATTTTATTGGTTTATTCTTTCTAAAGCTATTCGTTGAATCTTTGAAATTCGACGACTTACATCATTACACTCATTATCTTAGAAAGATTTTGATGTGATCATTTTATTCAAACTTTTCTGTTTCTGCACTCTAGAATCAACTTTTTGCCCAGCTAGTGTTTGTCGAAAAGATGCAGAAGATTTCTGTCCTGTTTATACATATATAGATTCATTTCTTAAAACTAAACTGAAACTTTTTTGTCCATTTGTTTTAAACATTCTAGTTTCATAACTTGTTGAGTTTTCCAATTTGAATCACGTACAGACAAATCAAACCAAAAGTAACGGAGATAGTAAGATAATGTAGAGATATGGAAGAGTGACAAAAATTTACTCCGTTCAAAAAATTAATCCATAGAATTAGAATTCTAAAACATCATCATCTTGGGTTTTCAACTGCTGGGTCATTTTCTAAAACATCATCTTCTTGGGTTTTCAACTGCTCAGTCATTTTCTAAAACATTATCAT